CTTAATCTCAGGGTCGTGGGTTTGAGCCCATGCTGGGCAAAAGGGTCCTGCATTGCAGAGCGTTGGACCAGGTGACACTGGTGGTCCCAACTCTACGACCCCCAACCACCACTGTATCCAAGAGGCATTATTGAGGCACAAGACTCATAATCACTCACCGCATTGCATTTCCCAGATGCTGTTCTGTCTCGCTGACGGAGCTCTGGCCTGCCTGTGAGAGGCTCCAGGAAGACCCTGGTCTCACAGAGCAAAGTGGACTGAGTTCATTACATTTCACAGGCACTTCATAAGTAATATGTTCCCTATGTGGAGATAGTCTCTAGAGCAAAGAGAGGGGAAAATGTCTTTGAAGCACTGCATGGGATAGGAACACAATTCACAGTAGCCCGGTTCAGACAGATGGAGCAAAAGAAAAACCGAGCATAGCATACATGACAATCTACATGGGTTTTTTTCTTCCTGGCTTTCGGCTATATTATCCACCCTTAATCCCTTTTATTTCTGCCTTGATCTGCTCAGTTCATTGTTTGGAGGTTTCAAGTCAATAACACCATGAGATCCATGGAACATTTACTCAAAATTGAAATCCATTTGTTTTTAAATTCTTCATTCGATGAAAACATCCCTGTTTCTTTAAGAATTTGCAAGCCCCCGGGGATACGATTGTTTTCGCAATCATCTCTCAATGCTTTCCCTGAGTTTCTAATTTCATGTTGTTCATAAATGTTGCTATTTATCCCAAAGAACTGAGTCACTGGGTGTATTCCTCACAGAGCGGTGGATTTGTAAGAGACCCCAAAGGTCATTAGTCCAACTCCCTGCCCTGCCCTATATTTAAAAATGAAAACACATTCACATGTGTGGGCGCATGCGTACATTGGCTTAATATTTTTTGCTATTTAATAACACTATAATCACAAGATCTTTAATGCTTGCTGGTGTTGTTAAACAGATTTAACTTTATTTTTTCCTTTTGTTCTAATAATGTGGAGTATTTTGAATTGGTGCTGTCTTTGTACTTGTTATATGTCTGTATACATTATGTCTATGACAGACCACTATAGTAGAAAAGAGTTTGGTTTAGTTATATTTAGGCTACTTTGGGACGTGGGTGGCGCTGTGGGTAAAAGCCTCAGCGCCTAGAGCTTGCCGATCGAAAGGTCGGCGGTTCGAATCCCCGCGGCGGGGTGCGCTCCTGTCGTTCGGTCCCAGCGCCTGCCAACCTAGCAGTTCGAAAGCACCCCCAGGTGCAAGTAGATAAATAGGGACCGCTTACTGGCGGGAAGGTAAACGGCGTTTCCGTGTGCTGCGCTGGCTCGCCAGATGCAGCTTTGTCACACTGGCCATGTGACCCGGAAGTGTCTCCGGACAGCGCTGGCCCCTGGCCTCTTAAGTGAGATGGGCGCACAACCCCAGAGTCTGTCAAGACTGGCCCGTACGGGTAGGGGTACCTTTACCTTTACCTTTTAGGCTACTATATACATTACCATTCTGTTTTGTGTAATCATATCCACATCTGAAGGTGTGGTTTTTTTAATGTAGGGAAAATCTAACACATGAAATGACCTTGAGGAGTTTTCCCCAGTGCAGTAGATTCATGGCAGACAAAAGATTTGCACAATGCAAGATGGAGTGGTGGTCATTAGCTTAGACACCTTTAAAGGGAAATGTGACAAATTTGCAGAGGACAGGCTATCAGGTTAGCCATGAGCACTAAATGAAACCTCCACAAGCAGCAAACCTCTCGGCATCAGTTGCTGGAAATAGTGGGGTCGGGCTATGGCCTTCAGACCCTCTTCCTGACAGGCCAGCTTCTGACCCCCAGATATAATAAATGCATCCACGAAAAACGATGACATACAAAAACAAACTAAGGCATACACACATACTGAGACGAATGAGATGTAATTTGATTTTCTTTTTTCTTTGAAGGAACAGAGATGTATTTACAGCAGTGTGACTAGTTCCTCGGCACTAGGGGCGCTGAGCCAAGGGGGGCATCCCAGGGTACCACAACTATGGCGGAACAGAAGGCAAGAGGCGGGGGCTGCAAAATTTGGGCCCTGCTCAGGCCACCACCAAAATTTGAAAGACCAAAGTCCAGGATGGAAGGAAACCATCCCTTGAGTTTCTGCTAGCCAACTGGTACAAACTCTCTTCCTGACCCTGAATCATCTCGTTGCTCTTTTAATGAGCTTTCTCTTTCTTTATCACCTCCTGGTCTTCTCCCTTCTTTTCTGCTTCCAGTTATCTTCATCTATTTCCACGCTTGGATCACCTCACCTCATTTCCCCGACATGCAAAATCCCTGCCAATTGATCTTCTACTCCTGTATTTGGTCTTCAATAAACTCTTTCTCCTAGCAGCACACTCTTGAAATTTCCTGTGACGTACCCCATCTTCCTTTCTACCAGCCTATTGGTCTTCAGACATCCTTTTTAAGCTAAACAACGAACACACCTCGAGTTACTGCCCCGCTTCTTGAGTTGTTCTCTCACAACCCACTCCAGCTTTCCATCCTCTCTGCACATCTAAAATTACACTTTGTAAATTGCTTTCTTCTCTCACTCCTCTTGGCTCCCTTGCAACCTTTGATATGGCTGATCTCTCTACTTCAGTTGCTCCCCAGCCTTTGTTCTTAGTCCTTCACTTTGCACTCTTCCTCATAGTCATTTAGTCAGTTAATACTTTCTGCAGCTAATACTTTCTGCCCTTCTGGGTCTTCTAACAACTCCAGATGTCTTCCCTATGCTACTTTTTTCCTATATACCTGATCACCACCTTGATATAGGGGGAAACAAACAAACAAATCCATGTCTTCCAATTTAAGTATTCCCTATGCTATTTTATTTCTCTCTCCATCGATATTCTCAATCCTCACTCTTCTCAACAGGCTGATCTTTGATTTCTCTCTTTTCTGTCCCTGCACTTGTTTTCAAGCTAAATTTTTCATTTGCTTTAAACTTATTGAACTCCCTTCCTCTCCCCCTAGCGAATTGCCCTACCAAAAACTGTAATTTATGGTATTTAACCATTTCATATGTAAACTGCTTTTGTTTTCCCATTTCACTTCTTGAGCTCATCTCAGAGCTTGAACGTGGATCTAATTTTGCCTCTTCTCTTTGCTTTCTCCTTCTGTTTCAAAGTTCTTATATGCTTCTTCTTACCTTTAAAGGTAACCATGGACTTGGGACGTTCTTACTTTCTCTTTAGTTGCCTTCTCACTACCCTTCTAATGCCTAGCAGGTAAAAATGGGAGGGCTTGGCTGAGTATTGCAATCCCCTAGCCCAGTGCTTTTTTTTCTGGGGGGGGGGGGCGCAGGGGGACGCATACCCCTAAACATTTTGTGAATCTAAGTTTGGCCTCATTGAGGGGCAGTATTTCAATATGAGTAGGAAAATGAGAGTAGCCCTAAGCATTTTTGGGGGGAAAGCACTGCCCTGGCCCATGGCTTTGTACCACCCCAGCTCTACTCTGTTTATTTATAAGGTTTCCAGCAGATAGACAGCAGCCAAAGATAAAAATAAAAAAGGTCTGTCAGATCCGCCAGTCTCTTCCCAGTGTGTGCCATCCTTCAAGCCTCTACTGTTCCTGAATTATAACACTCAACATTTCTATAATGCACTTTACATACATTAACCCAGTAATCTTTACAAGCGCTTGTTAAACCTATTATCCCCAAAGGGTTCTCATAGGACAGGCTGCTGCCTCCTGGGACTGAGCTGGACATCCCATCCGTCTCTTGACCAAGGACATCCCATCCCTCTCTTAGCCAACAAGACCGGACTAAAACTAGTGCTCTGCGGGTCCCACACAATGCCAAATATGTCCAAATTCTTATTGTTCAGCTGCCTGCGTACCATCCTCATGTGCTCAAGCATGTATGGTTTGGCTTGAGCATTTATTGCAATCTGCTCCCCAAGATCCAGCTCAACAGTACCAGATTCTTACCAAACCCTTTAAAGCTCAAGCTGCTTTTATGGCAGGGGCTTCCATGGACTCCATGCAATTTGAAGCTAGAGAATAGCATCCCAGGTAGCTGCTAGACTGCGGCTAAAGTCCTGGAAGGCTGGTGCTGCCTCTAAAGTAAACCTTTCCACTGAACCTTTTTCAGGCGGTCAGCTTTTTGGAGAAGTGGCGTTGAAAGATGTCCTTACAGAATCAAAAGATAAGAGGAAAATCTTGCTGACCCAAAGAGATGACAAGCGCCCTACCAAGCATTTCTCTTCCTACTCTTCTCACTTTCGTCCCTTTTGCTCCCAGAATAGGCAAAGGGACATCAGATTCAGACCTCAGTTCTTTAGAGCAGCAGCAGCAGCAGTCAAGTGTCCCATTTTATTCTATCTAGTTTTCACTCTTTTGCGTTTTTCTCTACAGCTCAAAGTTGCAATCTGACTTACCTGGGAGTAAGTCCCATAGAACTCCATTGGACTTACTTCTCAGTAGATGCACACACTACTGCACTGCAAAAGGGCATTAATAATAATCAGCAAATAAGAGGACAATCCAATTTCAAAAGGATCATACATATATATATACAGTGGGAAGGAATAAACTATTTTATATGCATAATACTTATGCAGTACAATAGGGCTAGCCCTCTAAACACAGACAAACAAGAGTGATTTCCCGTTTCTCTGTGCAGAGTCCAGTGGGACTATCTATTACCGAGGTTACTGCAAAAGTTCCACACATTTCAGGTGGCTTAGAAGGGAGGTACTCTTAATGGATTGTACGCTTGGAATAGCTGACGTCTTGTTTTTGTTTCACCTTAAGGGGGGGGGAAACAAACCAAAATTAAAAACATTGGGGGGAAACCAGTTTTGCTTTATAATTTTATTTATATGCAAAACAGTGCACCATTCATGAGAGATATGAAAAACGCTTCCGATAGAAACCAGATTTTCTATTTTCACTACAAAATATTGCCTTATACAAAGCAACACACACACACACCAAAAAACCCTGAAAAAGACTAAAATCTTTGGATAACAGATGGTTTTCTTTCTTTCTTTCTCTAAAACGTACTTTTGTTTTAAGAGATTCACAGCAAAAGAGCATGAAACATTTTCTGGTTGTCAACTTTTTTGGTTGTCATAAAGGAAAGTAGTCCTGTTTCTTCCCTTAAAAAGAACAAAACAAAAAAGTCTGTAAAAAACACACATAAATATACACACGCTCACAAAAAGACAGACATACGGACAAACAAACAAAAACTACTTCCCTTATAAATGGTTTGCAAAATACCTTTTAGACAGAATTACAAGTCAGAATAACCATACACATTTAAAAAAAAACAAAAAACTTCAAGTGAAGTGCTAGTTTTGATTCCACACACAAAATAAATTCTCAAGGACAAAGTCTGAATATATAAAATACGCTTAGAAACAGGGGAAGTGGTCCAATAAACCCAGAGCAAGACGAAACCCACAATCTGGTTCCCAACAAACACTTCCAAAGTCAGACAATTATTCCACAGAAGAAGAAAATGTAAACACTTGACTATAGAAAACCAGTTGGCACAAAAGTCTTCAACGCAAAACCTTTACCACTCCCAAAATTTTAAAAAATAATCTCGGGGGAAAATACTCTACTTCTGCTAACCCAAAATAAAAAATAAATAGTTACTTTTGAACTGCACTCCTGGATCACATGTTTTAAGGTCGCAAGCAGTCGAGACTTTTTGGATCTAGAGAAAGGGGCACTTTGACAGTTCAGGGTCTTTTGTGGGTTTTGTTTCCTCCCGCCCGCCCCCCCTCAAAGGAGATCTCCACTTTCTGCAATGGGGGCTGCCCGGTGGGTAGGGGGAAACTGGCACGCGGCAACCCACCCATGGGAACCCCCTCGGGTGGAGGGACCCGGTCCATTTCAAGTTTCTCTGTTAGGGCCCGATTCAGGAAAGCCCTTTAAGGCACGAGCTTAAAGCCAAGGGATCTCCCGCCAAGCTGCCGTCGGGATCTTAAACACTTTGCTGAATTGGGACCCTACCGCGGAGCGGGGGAGTTGCTTCAGGGCGGGGATCAGAAAGAAGAGGCGCGCCAAGAGGGAGCGCACGGTGCGCTTGGCTTCCAGTGCGGACAGCGCCTCTGCAAAGCGCCGGGGGAGCCTGGGACTGGCCTTCGGGGGACCCCTGCCGGCTTGCCACTGCCGTCAACCCCACCCCGGGCCCTGGGTTTCTTGCCCTCTCCGCCCCGCCTGGCGCCGCCCCTGGAGGGAGGCGCGCGCCTGTCCTACACGTCGAGGACGTGGTTGAGATAGGAGATGTAGCAGATGGCCAGGCGCAGGATCTCGATCTTGGAGAGCTTCTTGTCGGGCGGCAGCGTGGGCAGCAGCTTGCGCAGCTCGGCGAAGGCCAGGTTGAAGGCCTCGACGCGGATGCGCTCCCGGGTGGCGTGCGCCGAGCGGTACTTGGCGGTGGCGCGGCGCCGGCGGCGCTTCTCCTCGCGGCTCAGCGGCTGCTGCGGGTGCGGCCCCGGGCGACCCTCGCCGCCGCCGCCTCCCGCCCCGTCGCCGTCGGGCGCCTCCAAGTCCGAGGCGCAGCAGCTGCGAAGCCCTTTGGCCTCCAGGGACTCCGGGTCCGACGGCGCCGACGACGGGTGGTCCGAGTCCAGCGCCTGGTCCGGGCTCAGCATCATCTGGCAAAGAGAGAAGGCACCGTCAGCAGCGACCCCCAGAAAGAGGACCGCCAGACCCTCACCCTCGACGGCAGCCTGGGGAGCCCAAGCGTCAGCCAGTGTTTCTCAGACTTATGGAGTAGAAATACATTGGTAAGCAAAAGGAAATAACTTCCAGCAGTGCTTGATTTATAACACAGAACACAACTGCTTTATAATATAATTGTGGGGCGTCCAGAAAGTGGAAAGCGACGCAGCTTCATAAGAACTTGAAGAACATTCCCAAAGTATAATTCGAAACGAGCCTCTTACATGTGCACCTAAAGTAAGTCTAGAAACTCAATGAGAGGTGTGAGCTTCCTTTTGCTGGACAATCTCATTTCTACTATGGGATGGTCTTCGGTATCTCTTGATGCTTTTGCTCTCATTTTGAGAACAGATCTATCCATATTCTGCAAATAATATTTCTTTTGATACCATACCATGCTACACTGAAATGTTTGAATGCTTATTTGATTGTCCTTGAATCTCCCGGCCAGACCAGGGTGGCGCGCCATCACGCCTTGAAAACCACGGGGTTCGGCTCTCCCCTCACTGCGACTGGCGCAAGCTTTGCAGTGCAAGCTTTGCATTGGAGGAATCCCGTTTCCATCAACTGTGGCTCCAAAGGAGCTGGAGAGGGACCAGGCAAAGAGACCCAGGAAGCTCTGGGCGAGGGCAGCTGGGAGGCAGAAGACGGGCATAGAAGTACTTCCAAGCGGGCAAAGCACTTCGCCATGCGCAGCCCTTGCCATATTTGTTTGTTAAATTTGTAGAGCGCCCTTCACCCGAAGATCTCAGGGTGGCTCACAATAGAGAAATACAAGATCAAATTACAAAGCGTGAAAAAACTTGCCAAGAATTCTCCCCCTCCCCCGCGCACAAGTGCATTAAAAAGCATATAGGCTGTAAATCAGCCCAAGGTTTGGTTGAAGAGGAATGTTTTTGCCTGGTGCCTAAAGGTGAACAGGGGCAGACTTCGGTAATTTTTCGTAATATGGCGCCAGGTGTGAAGCCGACATTTGGTGCCCCCAGATAGGTCTTCACAACTCTGGATCTTCTCAATCTTGTGCCCTCTTGGCTCGGCACCCTGTGGGAGAACCACCTGGGCCACCATAAATCTGGCGCTGAGTAAGGAAGGCGCCAAGCGAGCCTCCTTGGGGTGAGCATTGCACAAACGAGGACCCACCTCAGAAAAGGCCCGTTCTGGTGTTGCTGCCAGGGGGTCTCAAATTTCAGCGGTACCCTGTGGGGTGCCAAAATTCAGCGCCCCTCACCCGCCTCTCGCCTTCCATTCTACCTCCTCGTTGCGGCGCCACTGAGGACCCGCACTGGTCGCGCTCCCCTAAATCTGCCTCTGTTGCCCCCCTCTGGACCTCTCACAGAGGGGGCACACGAAGAAGGGCCTCCGATGGGGAGACCGGTATTGTTATCGCTACTCTTCCATTGTCTCCTGAGACAGACGGTGCCAACCAAGAGAGCAGCATGTAGATAGGGGCAGCGTTTGGGGCGGTGCAGAGTGCTGCGTAACGACCCTTGAGCCATTCTCCTTCCAGGGGGCTGCCAGGACCCCCGACTGGTCCATAGGCAGTTACAAACGGGGCGGGCGACGTGGGTGGGGGTGTGCCTTGTCTAGGCCACCTATCTAAGTCCAAAGGAGAAGCGAGATTCAAAGCAGGGACCTGCGTAGAGCCAGAGTCAGAGCTATGTCTCTTTAGCCACCGCGGCCGCGCTGCCCAAACTCCCAAACAACTGTCCATAACGCACGCCCTCTCTGTCTCACACAAGCAATATGATTGCCGTTTTTACGTTGCTGTTCTTTTACAATTGCGTTTACATCACTATGCTATCGATACCAATCTGCCAGCACAACATTTTCAGCAATTCAGGCAACACATTGAGGGCGGGCAGGATGGAATCTTATCCAGCTTCTTGATCAACGGGTGCTGATTAACATTATCATAGAATCATAGCATTCCATAGAATTGGAAGGGACCCCGAGGGTCATCCAGTCCAACCCCGTGCAAAGCGGGAATCTCAACGGGCCTGAACATTTCATAGACGGGAGGGCGGAGGAAAGGAGAGAAAGCTTCAACGAAGGGCTCTGTAGCCGCTTTTGTTGGACGGCCTACTATGTAACAGGGCAGTTAATCGTTCTTATCTATTCTGATTTATACACTTTGTCTTAATTTATAGCTGCGCGGGCACGCTCAAAAAAGCCCGCTGCTCCGTTTATGTTTCGTTTGCAAAAGAAAAATAACAATAGCCTTAGCAATCCAAGCCATAGCTCCCTGGCTGCTCCCAAAGCACGGAATCGACATTAAAGGTTTCGAGGTGCGCTATCCTACAAAGGTTTATTCGGAAGTAATCGAAACTGTCTTAAAGAGGGACTCGCTCCCCCGTAAAGGGTGTGTGGGAGTGACGCAAATAAGACTGGTTTTGTGTTCCCGCTTTCTAAATCCAAATCCAAAAGTTACGTTGCCATTGCTAAGGAGAGACCAGTTCTGAACTCAAAAGGCCGCCCCGCTCCCAGGCTGAGCCTCCGTTCCGACCTCGGTGCGAAATACAGAAAGTCAGACTATTTGGGGAGCTATTTGGGGTTTGTTGCGCCTCGCTAGCGGATGCCAACGCGGTGAACGTCGAGGAATGTGGTTTTTAAGTCGGCGAAGGCCCCCCTGCTGGACATGGGGGTGTGAAAATGCCAACGTGGGGCACTATTAGTTGGGCATCGGAAGGAGAGAGTGCCCTCCTCTCCTGGCGAGAATCTCAGCTCCCGAAGGCGATCCGTTTTCGAGTCACCACCTAACAATGGACCAGACCAGGCAAGGTCCGAGATCAAGATTTCGACCGTCGGGAATAGTTGACGATGCGAGGATCCAGCTACCGGTACATTAAAAGCAGCAACCTTGGGGAGAAAGCGCCGGGTGTTGTTTTTGTTTAAGGATCCTGTTCGTTTTAGTGTCTGGTGGTTTTCCTTGCGCGCGTAGGAGCAGGCGACGGGGGGGGGGGCTGTTCAAAGGGATGTTAACATGTTGCAAAGAAGGGGGGCCTGTTTTGCAATCTGTGCCCCACCGCGGCAAAGCAGCACCCCGCCCCGCCGCTTTCAAATGCATATACCAGAACAATGTTGTGAACCGCCCTGTGACTTTCAGATGAAAGGCGGTATACAAATACATATAATTCAGGGGCACTTAAACTCTCTCGGCTCCGGTAGATTTAGCTTGCTTAGCAGGTGAAGGAAGTGCGGGGCAGCAATCAGGTGCACTTGCGAAGCTAAGCAGGGTCCGCTCAAATGGACCACAAGTCGGGGGGTGGAGTAGATGGCCCTCGGCGCCCCTTTCTATCCCGAGACCCGTTAATGAGAGGCTGGAGTCGGAGGAGGAGGGAGAGCGGCCCCCAGCCAGGCCCCTCGGACCCACAAGTGGCTCCCCGGCCACCTCGGCTGCCGGAGCGAGCGCCTTTCCGGAGCCGCCCTGGCTCGGGATCGAGGATCCGGAAGGCCCCTCGCCACCCATCGCCCCGTCGGTTCTCGGATGCGCCTTTGCCAAGGGAATGAGCGCGCCTTGCCATCTGTCAGGGAGAACTTCCAGGGACACGCGGGCATCTCAGAAAACAATACAGTGCCAGGCAGGAGAGAATGACCTGGGGGAAACCTGGGGGGAGGGGAGGGGTCACTGCAAACGGGGGGGGGAGGGTGAAGTTTCTGAGTAGCTGGAAAGGCGATGGGGAGGGGACAGGGTCCCTGAGGACGAGGACAAGCATAAATTAAATTCTTTGTATTATTATTATTATTATTATTATTATTATTATTATTATTACTATTATTGCCAAGGCTTTGCAAAGCTGTGTTTTCGTTTGATTACCAAAAATGACACACCGCCCTGGGATCTGTGGTTAAAAGGCGGCATATAAATCGAAATCATCATCATCATCATCCTCATCCTCATCATCATCTAAAAGGTCCCCTCCCGTTTAATGCCAGAGGAAATCATTATTATTACAAAGGATTTAAAGGAGAGCGGTAGAAATAAATATTGGGGAGCGATGGGAAACAGGCTGCCCTGGAAACCTGGCGCTGCGTAGGATCTCCAAAGCCCACCGGTGTTATTTGGCAAACAATGAGCCAATTACGGAAGTGTTGCTTTTGTCCCCGGTTCCGGGGGTTGAACCCGGAGAAGAAGATCTCGGGGACTGGGGAGGCGACGCGTTTCTCTCCGAAGTTGCTATCGGGTGTTTTTTTTTAAAAAATATATAAAACGGGGGGAAATGCGTTTAAGATTTAAAAAGAATAATACTAATATTCACAAGGAAATAATAGTCCAGCTGAAAAGCAAACGGGAAATAATGTTTTTGGAGCGCTCTGTATGGAATTTCCAGCGTTCGCATTTGGAAGGCGGCCCGGCTGGGCTTCGGAGCCGAAGTTCTGCGCTGGAAGCCTGGTTTGCCCGAGCGAGCCTTGGATTTCGAAGGCATTTATTTCTGCTTGCCAAGTAAATCTATATACTTAGGCTGGCGACTCGAGGGAAGGTGCCTCCCCGGAACGTGGGTCTTCAGAGCCCTTTTAAAAATAATCATCATCATTTTTGAATTTATTTTTAAGGCATCTTCTTGCGCAAATCCCTACGGCCTAACCGAGCCATCGCCCTGTTTTCCGTCCCTGCCCAGCCAGCCTCACCTGGGGAACATTTTTTTAAAGGACTTTACCTTGCAGGAGCCTTGACGACAGCCTTTCTTGCAGCGCCTCCGACCCCCTTTTTCCGCGCCTCAAATAAAATTCCAGCAGGGATTCATCTTAGTCTTTGGACATGAAACAATACAAAAGGAGAAACGGGGAGAGAGATAGAGGGGGGCGGGGGGGGGAGTGATCCACATATGAAAAATAAATAAAAAATAAATCCTATCGCTAGACCGGAATCGTTTTCATCGCCTCGCAGAAATGGAGGAAGAGAGCGCAACTGTCAACAAACGAGAAATAAAATGCACTAAGGGAAAGAAGAAAAACATCCGGGCGGGGGAGATGCGGGGGGGGGGGGAGAAGGACACCTCCGCAGGTCTCTAACCAGGTCTCTCTAAGGCCAGAGGGCGCTGAATTGTGGCTGGATGCTTCCAGCGGTGCTGGTCAGCCGGCGCCTCCTGCCATGATCGGGGCGCGCAACAAAAGAGATGGTGCGCGAAGGAGGAAGGAGAGCGCGGTCCTCTCCGCGGGCGCGCAAGGCGGCGGGCCCGACGGGGCTTTTGTTCAGACGACGCCTCTTCCTGCTCCTTCCTCCCTTCTCCGCCGCCTTGGCCCTTCTGCGGGAGGAAGGAGGGAGCCCAGGCCGGCGGCGGGGCTCCGCGCTGCCCATCAAGGTCTGGAGGGGGCCCACCAAGCAGCCGGGGGCCCCCCGGAGCCGAGGGCCGGCCTCTCCGGTAAGGGGGCTGGGGGGGGGTGGAGAGATGCGTCGGGATCCCCTGCAGGTTCCGGCGGATTCGTGTCCCGGAGAAGCGGCTGGCTATAAAGGCGCAGGAGGGAGGAGGCGCCGGCATGTCCCCCCCCCCAGCCGCGTCGAAGTTGCTACCCAATGGGCGATCCCATTGGACTGCCAGCGAGAGGCGCGCCGCTTAATTGGACTTGACATCTGTCACCGGGTGGGAGTTTCAGGGCCCCGAGATTGCCAGCCAGCCAGCCGCTCGGAGGGAGAGGAGAGATGGAGATGCGCGAGCCGAGGAGGATTCACACGTGCACCTTCGGCTTCCGCCGGGCGCTCGCGTGTGTGGAGCTGTCGCCGACCTTCGTGCTAGAGCTGCCCAACCCCGCAGTCCGGCCTCCTCTGCAAGAAGAAGCAGAACCCTCGCCACCCCTGACCTTAAGCACTACGTTGTTGTTGATGCAGATTCAGAACGGGTCCCAGGGTCATCTAGTCCAACCCCTGCTAAATAATCCATGAAAGATGGCCATCCAAGCTCTGTTGGAAAACCTCCAACGAAGGAGAGCCTACCACCTTCGGAAGGAATCCGTTCCACATTTCTTGCTATAAGAAATTTATCATTTGTTGCAATTTGAATCCACTGGTTCAGGTCGTGCCCTCTAGTGCCCTCTTCCTCTTCCTCTTCCTTTTCCCTCTTCCCTCTCCCCTCTTCCTCTTCCCTCTTCCCTCTTCCCTCTTCCTCTTCCTCTTCCTCTTCCTCTTCTTCTCCTTCTCCGGCAAGCATGCAGGGCCATGCATTCTGGCGAAATGTGTTTATTGTATTTGTTTTTATTTCCTAAGATTTATAACCTCTTGACTGCAAAAAACAAACACCCCCCCCAAACCCAACCACCTCCCAGTGGTTTACAAAAAGATAACACTGCAAAATCAACAAGAATTTGCAACCGTACTTTAAAACATACACAAGTAAAAATACCAAAACTGATGAAAATGAGCTCAACTTTGTAAGCGTTTGGATAGGCTTCTCTAACCAAGACTGTTTTTAGCAGGCCACAAAAAGAGTGCAGTGAAGATGCCTGCTTGATCTCAACAGAGTTCCGATGTGCAGGCGCTGCCACACTAAATGGTTGGATGCTGACCAATGTGGCTGTTATGTGGCACCTGCAGTAGTGCCAGTTCCGCTGACAAAGTGGCTGAGTGGGCACAGGTGGGGCAAGGTGATCTCGCAGGTAAACTGATCCCAAGTTGCTATGGGCTTTATATGCTAATAGTAACACCTTGAACTTGGCCCAGGAGCAAATCAACAACCACTGCAGGTCTCTAGCATTAGTCAGGGTGAGGCCACTGCCTTGGGATGTAGAAGGCAGGGCTGGCAGTCCCTGTGGCCATTCCTCTCTGCTGGAGGGCAGAAAAGTTTTGTGCAGCCCCTAAGTCTGGTTGGGAAAAAGAAAAGAAAAACACAAAACTTGAAACTGCTAAAAGAAAATTAAATTGCAATAATAAGAAATACGACCATCTTTGGTTATCTTTCTCAAATACAAAAGAAAATGTTTTAGGACACAAATCATTTTGAATAATTTTGTAAATTGTGATGTTAAAATTTAAGTCTCTTAAAAGTTTTAATTTCAGGTACATCACCATCTCACTTCCTTTGCAAATTTTGCCACCAATTCCTTCGTGTCGAGAGCTGATACTTGGACATGTTCCATTGGGATAGTTGTCAAGCTAACTTGTCTCTTTTGCAATATTGTTGAGCATATGTAAGTTTTGTATAAGTTTGAGCTTTGAGAAACTGAGTTCACCATCTGCCACTGACTCTGGAGGTGTGAAAAGGATCCTTAGAGCAACAGAAACATTAGGAACATTATCCTTGAGTTATTGTTGCAGTATGAAGAGAAGTATTCCTTGTGGTTGCATAGACTTTGGAAGTCTTCAAGCTATTGCTATAAGTTCACAGCACAGATCTTCAGCATCAGTTTCATTGCTTCCATTGTCCATCAAAGGTTTTTCCAAATTCAAGTACATCTTCAGTAGATTTTTGTTGTTATTAAAATTTATATACAGCCCTATGCCTGTGGGTCTCATACATATCTAGATCTAGATCGATCTGTCTGTTTGTCTATCTATCTATATCTATATCTATATCTATATCTATATCTATCTATCATCTATCTATCTATCTATCATCTATCTATCTATCTATATCTATCTATCTATCTATCTATCTATCTATCTATCTATCTATCATCTATCTATCTATCATCTATCTATTATCTATCTATCTATCATCTATCTATCTATCTATCTATCTATCTATCTATCTATCTATCTATCATCTATCTATCTATCTATCTATCATCTATCTATCTATCATCTATCTATCTATCTATCTATCTATCTATCTATCTATTATCTATCTATATCTATCTATCTATATCTATCTATCTATCTATCATCTATCTATCTATCTATCTATCATCTATCTATCATCTATATCTATATCTATCTATCTATCTATCTATCATCATTATCTATCTATCTATCTATCATCTATCTATCTATCATCTATCTATCTATCTATCTATCTATCTATCTATCTATCTATATCTATCTATCTATCTATCTATCAATCATCTATCATCTATCATCTATCATCTATCTATCTATATCTATCATCTATCTATCTATCTATCTATCAATCAATCATCATCTATCATCTATCATCTATCATCTATCTATCATCTATCTATCATCTATATCTATCATCTATCTATCTAATCTATCATACAGGAAGCCTAACAGGGAATTATATTGTTGTAGCTGTTGGAATATCTCTTCAACAGATTGTATGGCCATGTCTAAGTAGAAACCTCCTTGCAGTGCCTCTTCTCATACTCAGACTGCCATTTCTTTCTTTCTTTTTCTAGCTTGCTCTGTCTCAAAGTCTGGCAGTTTTTCTAGCTCCTTTGCAATCTCAGTGGCCTCTATCAAAACTTGTTGAAAACCCTCAGCATACCTGCAGCCCACACAATGTAATTCTTGGTCACCTGCAGTTGGCTTGTAGCTGAATTTAAATTAGCGTCCTTATTTTGTAGTAGCTAGCTTGTAAGATTGTCTTCAAAAAGGGTGTTGTAGCATCTAACAAGGGATACCACAAACTTGAATTTCCAAATTGCATCAGCAAGAGCCTTAGCTTCAATTTGGGAAGTGTTTTCAGATAAACGCTTTAGGTTTGTGTCGTCAAAGATTTCTATTAAAGCAGCATATATGCAACAAAGGTAATATCTCAGTGGTTTCAAAGCATCTTTTGAACCTGTTTCTGGTACGGCTGATGCACTGTTTCTTTTGCCGAACAACTTACAGCAAAAACAAAAAGCCACATATTTTGAGGTTGAATATATCAAACCATTGGCAGCACACTTCTTTACCATTTGCTAGTATTCTCTTGTAGTGTATAGGAAAAAATCTTCTGGGGTTTTTTGAGTCTTTGGGAAAATTATGTGATACAATCTGCTCTGGTCCTTATTCTAAGATGCTTAAAATTGTCACTGCAATAGTTAGGTCAATGAGCAGGATCACTGCAATTCAAGTCTGGTACAATAGCATCTTCTTTCGCAGACTTTGCAGTATTTTCACTTTTGTTGACATCTTCTTCTTCCTCTGTGTGGTTTCCAGAAATATCTCCCATGAGTCAAACATATGTCTTAGAGTTTATATAATTCGTAGCAGGAGCACCACATCCAGCTCCCTATTTTCAGCAAGAGTATAGCCACATATTCTTGTGCTTTCAAGTGCTTTCTGTGTACAAAGGTAATTCAGGAAGAACCCCCCCCCCCTTGGTTTGCTTGCCCCTTAGCCTTTTCTGCCTTTCTGCACTCAGCTCCAGACAGTCCTTTTTTAATCAGCTGTAGCTCACTAGAAAAATGAATTCATTTTCTACATAAGATTAAGATCTGACTGTAAGGTTTAAAATTAAGTGCCTTTTCACTTTCCATGTGCATATATATTACATAACCTCCCATCAACTCTGTGGTCTTTCCATTTCAAATATGCATAAAAAAACAATTCTAATGCACAAAGTACTCCAGAACTGATAAAATTATTCAGAATATAAAGTAAAATATTATCAGAAAGTTGTAACCAGTGTTAGAAACCGAGATATGAAAGCTAGGAGCTAAATGGCACCTTAAACCTAGGTTATGGGCGCAACAACAGAATGTCTAGGTGCACTTTTTTTATATAACAAGAATACAAAGCTGAAAATGAATGAGCTGCAGCTAAAATATTATGTTCATTTTTCACAAGGTCTAGTGCTTCCCCTGCCCACCCCCCTAATATTATCAAGAGGGTCTCTTCTCCGGTCTTCAGGGAGCAGCTGGAAGTGGGGAGGCAGAAAAAGGTCCT